AAATATGCTGGCAGACATGGTTTCAATATTAGGCTAGTAACGACTGCATTTTAGACTCTTTCAAAGAGGTATACCCTTCTCTTCTCCTTGGCTGGCACTTGGAAACCAGATGCCATGACTATCTACAAGCTTATTGACCAGTGCAGGAATGAGCGTTTTCTGGATGTGCATGAACTAGCAAAGTTCTGGGATGTTGTGAAGGCGTTGATGCCTGTCACATCCATTCATTTATGTAACCGCCTTGCAGGGGGACATCTTCTGGAATAGTCTTTCTTGAGTAGATCCACTACATTCGATCGAAACGGTCAAGGACATATCTCGTCTTTTGCTAGAATTGGACGATGTGGGGCTTCCTACTCTCACCATGTAAAACATATGGCTCTAGGTGGTCTACACTAGGCGGACCATTGATAATTCTTGCTACTTCTACCTTCTACGTCTACCGTCTTTGCATCCTACAATGTAATCTTGAAAAACAAAATTCAATCCGCTATTATTGGCAATGAGGTTAGATGGTAGTTCACTTCAATTTACCAAAGTGGTTCATACTGCAACTCTTTCTTCTCCAACAGTTTCTTGACCAGTAATGCACTGATGATGAAGTTATTAGTTCTTACTTAGCAATCACCTTCTGCAGCAGCCGGGGCCTCTAAAGAGAGAGAAGGCATCCCAGCGGCTGCCTACCGTTTAGCCTGAAGAGGGGGAGGAAGAGGTTTGGTTCAAGAGCCTTATTAGCTCGTCAAGTTGTTAGAAGGATTATCTACACAGCACCATCCTTGCGATGATGCGGTGTACCATCTCCAGGTTGCAGAGTTGCAATTCCTCTTCCTCAACACTATCCATTTCGGGGTCTCCACCACTCCTGCAACTGTTTCTGACAATTCCTTGTCTGGACTATCCCACAATCTTCGTCCGCTCTCTGGAGGCTCGTAAACCTCAAAACATTCTGAATCCACAGGTACTCAGGTGTTGTGACCGTACGATTCACCCTCAATGACAGACCAGATTCACCATTGCCAATGGTCACTACACTTGAACAGCCATAAAATGAAGAAAGTAGGAAATTTCTCTTTCATGATCATCAGATTCATGCATGGTAATAGGCTACATCCGTTCTAGTATTTCCTTGGCCGTCAGACCGCGATGGCTCCTCTGGGGCAATTTACAGGAAAATGAAAGGGAATGAGCAGTATCAAGGACATTAGCTGAGGAGTGTTTGTGTAATCTGTGCACTAATGGTTACCCGCCACAAATTCGCGATTCTTGCCCCACGGTTGGATGTTGATCATATATTTTGTCCCGTATTCAGCAATTTTCCTGCACATGTACCTTTCTTTTGTCTGGTTGGCATACAAGCAACTCGATATGGCCGACACCTTCGAAATGTGTTCATATTGTTTCCATCTAGCTGCAATAATGGCTTTTTATAGTGCAGGTGTCAAATGACACTGGTTGGCCGTTCTAGGTATATGTACACGTACTCGCCATTATGGTACCTCACCAATTACAAAACAAAGGTTTATGGCAGACTAAAGAGGAAGCAAAATTAGGAATAGTCACAAGATTTGACCTTATTCTGATTAGCCATATTTCGGTAATTCCATAAATTTGACTCGCTCGGTGTCAAATGACACCATTGGCTGTTCTAGGGTTAAAATTAATTAACCCACTGTGTTGATGTTCATGTTCAGAAATCTTGCAAGCAACCCAAAGTGCTCGGGCAGGCAGAGGAAGTGCTGGCACAACTGCATGACAACATCCGTGAGCCATTCTCAACAAGTGAGCAGTTCTCTCAACAGCTATGTGATGCTATACACGTAAAGTATGATGACAATGCAGACAGCATCAACACCGCACAAATCCGTCGATATCGCAAGATCCTCAATGCGTATGGTCTGGTATGTACATACTCTGCAGATTGAGTAATTTCAATTTACTTGCAGTAGATGTATTTCATGTTATGATGTATGTCATCTACGTCATGTACGTTTCTAAGGGGTCGTCGCAAAAGTGTTTTATCGTCCCTGAATTGAACATCGCTCATTTCTTACTCGCACACCCTCCAGTCCTTATGAAACAAACACAGCTTGCTATGCTGGATGATGAAAATTGCATGCATGTATATGTAGTCATGTACATATGTATAGTATCGGTCGACTTGTGATTTTTTTCCCGATTTATTGGAAACTGGCACCCTACCTTTTTGGTGTCTCCCTCACATAGTAGACATTCAGCCAGGTTTATAAAATTTGCACCGGTATGCCATGGCAAAATATGTGGAGAAGCAAATCCCAAACCCAGAATGAGATTCTTGAGATTTAAAGTGGGTTTTTGATCATTAATTCGGCCCAGATCGAACTTTCAAAAGCCAGCGAGACAGTTTCCGAGGAATTGACTGTAGTATCGGTCGACTTGCGATTTTTGCCACCCCCCCCCCCCCTCCACCCCTCCAACGAATGATGCTCGTCTCAGGGACAACAAAAAACGTTTGCAACGACCCCTAAACTAGATTTGTTCTTATTCGTTGGTTTGAGGGAAAGATGCAACCGGTTTGATTTGTTCCTACTTCTTTTAAAGCCCATATCTAGAACATTACGATGCCCATCCTGCCATTAGCTGTAGTTTATGATCTACTATTCAGTGCTAGACCAGCTATACACCGATACTAGTAGGTGTAAGGCTGCTGGAAACTTCAAGGTGAAGTGAAAATTGTGGAACAGGTTTAGTGTGTTGCTGTGCACAATATGGCTAGCTGGGGCTTGACAGGGGACATCACCAACAGATTGCTGGCTTTAGGCTGATGAAGAAATCATTGACAACGGGTGCATTGTGCATTACAACTTTGATGGATTGATCTTCAACAGTGAGTTTCTATGAAGGTGTGCTGCATAGTCCTGCTTAGGCTGGCACCAGAGGGTTGTATCTGGGTCCATGGGAGGATACGGCACTGATTTCCGCGCAACTCAAGCCAGGGCATCTGTACCCGTTTCCCTTACTGCCATTTCTTTAAAACTTAGGAGGGTTCATTTAACAGTTTCTCATTGCCAAACAATGTGGGGCCAGGCGAAGTGTGCTGTCATGACGCGTCGAGGATTGCCTGGGTGACTTGCTTTGTTTTGTATTATTTTGGAGGTATTTGGCCTTTTTAATATCCTGTCTGCGCATGCGTGTGGAATGTGTGTGTATCCATGTTTTGGCATATATCGTGCGTCGGCTTACAATTATGTGTGTTGCTGTGTGTATGGGTTTGCATATCGTGTTTTTGTTTCTAGATTGTTTCTTTCTCATCACCTGAGCTGGACGACATCATTGTTAACCGACCCAACTGGTTGCTCTCTACGGTCATTGGTCTGATATTTGCACCACCTGGGCTTGACGATGAAGTTATGCTCCACTTCAAAGATGGTGTTGCAAAGGTCCAGGAAGTCCTTGACAAGCTTGAAAGCTGCGAGGGAGCAGAAGGCAAAGGCCCTCTGCTGCTGAAGATGGTAATACAACTAGGTGTGTTGCTGCGGGAGAAAGAAAGGATCCTGGCACCCAGCCGTCTTCCGACCGCTGACAACTGCCTCGGCTCACTGGCCAAGAAAGATTCATCACCTCGGTCGGCGTGCGCAGGAGTCTCTTTCACGACTCAGCACTGCTTCTCCACTGCTCTTGTTATCCGGCTACAGACAGAGCTGTACGCCTATTTCCACGAGCTTCACGGCATTCCTGCTGAGCTCTGGAAGAATCTGGTGGTAGTGGCTCCAGTCCATTCTACAGCCCGTGGTTGCATCTCCGTCACGGACAGCCTGCGCCAAGCTGTCGCTGTTGTCCATGCGCCCGTTGAAGATACGCTAGATGGCTATTGTCTGCTGGCTCTGTTGCGGAAGGTGTTTGGTGACCTCGCAGCACAGTATAGCCCGGGCACTAGCTACTCCACAAGGATCATCAGCTCTGCTTCTATTCGTCAGCACCTCCACGAGCCAAGCGACAAGTTTGATTTCCCTGGTTACGACGCAGAGGACGTCCGATCATCCGTAGCAACAAAGGGTCATCTCTCCACTAGCCACAGTTACGTTGATCGTGCCCCGCTTCTTCTCGAATGGCCGGTCAACCATGCCTCACTGCTCTCTGCACAGTCCTTCGAGTCCGTCCGAGAAAGCCTTGGTGAGTCCGACCTGCCTGCACTAGCCACCTGCCTGGGCCTTACATCTTCACATCTACGCACTGCAGCAGCATTGGTCCACAGCTGGGCAGTTACCGACTACCATCACACCTCGACCAAGCTTCACCAGCTGCTAGTGAAATCACCGAACGCCCAGCGCTTTGCAAAGATCTGCAAGGTGCTACGGCAGCATGAAGAACTGGTGAGTGTGATCGCCTGTTGCGTACGCCCCTATCTCTCTCAGTCTCTCTCTCTCCCTCCCTTTCTCTCTCGCTCTCTCTCTCTCTCTCTCTCTCTCTCTCTTTCTCTCTCTCTCTCTCTCTCTCTCTCTCTCTCTCTCTCTCTCTCTCTCTCTCTCTCTCTCTCTCTCTCTCTCTCTCTCTCTCTCTCTCTCTGCCTCTCTCTTTCTCTCTCTCTCTCTCTCTCTCTCTCTCTCTCTCTCTCTCTCTCTCTCTCTCTCTCTCTCTCTCTCTCTCTCTCTGCCTCTCTCTCTCTCAGTCTCTCTATACTTCTCCCCCCCCCGCCTCTCTGCCTATGTCTCTCTGTTGATGTATGCAAGTTGTTCTAACATTTTACTCAACAAAACATCTGTCACCTACCATTACCCAATGCACAATGTATTCTCGGCCGTGTACCTCTCATTGATTTCACTCTCAGTGGTGTGGATGATATTGACACTAGCTGATGTTGATATCAGAGCCATGTTATCAGAGCCATGTTTGTTGCTTGTTTGTATATTTGTTACTCTCCACACTGCAGCTGGCCACCGATTTCCCGGACATATTCCGGAAGCGTCGGGTGCAAGCCGTCCAGCCGGTCTCCGCCGGAGCTACTGCCACCGCTGTTCAATCAGACTCCGCGGAGAGCGTTCCTTTGAGCAGCCAGTCACACTCTGATCAAGCCAGTCAGTCCACTGCTGCTCGGCAAGATGATGCTGGTAAAGTTGAATGTGCTCAATACACCATGTGTGCTCCCTGTATGCTAGTGTTAGTTTACTTGTGTGCAAATGTCTACTTCACACTATCTTGCAACACAACTTGATCTATGGGCTTGCTCAGGTCTCAAAGAGAACTTCAGTTTGCATGGGATTCTATGCGAAAAAATGAATTATTTTCTGTGTGGATAATGCACACATGACTGGTTAGGTATGTGTGTTATGCTAACCTTGATGATTTGATACCCATTCCTATAATCGAATACTTCTGCACAGAGACAGGGATAGTTTTAAAATCTGTTTTCTGTTCTTTCCTGTTGAATGTATCAGGCAATGCTGAGCATCACTCTGGTCATGGAAGCTGTGGAATTTTCCTATCCACTTCACCACTGTAAGTTCTACGCATGCATTACTCAACAATGAAGTATAGAACCGTTGAATCAGTCCTGTGTAAAGTTCAGTGAAATGTACTGCACCATTTCCAACATAATGAGTCAGGCCGGCCCAGTGACTGAGTTCTCAGACTATGATTGTGCAATGACAGGTATATGTATCATGATCAAGTCCTGACTTGAAGAGAATTGCTTCAACTGTGCTGTACACCACAGTGAGTTGGGAACACGAGGTGTGGAAAACAGGGCAACATTGATGCAGAAAGTGGGTTTTCGCCTTTACCCATTTACTGTAATTTGTGGATCTGAATTTTCCTCTCCATCCGTAAAAAAGCGGCATCTGACGCCTTTGAATGTGGTCATTTCATGTAGTCTTTTCATGTGGTATTTTCATGTGGCGGTGTCGTCATCCCTAGAAACCAGAAAGGTCTTCTTGAGCTGGGTAGTTCCCAGATCCTCTTTAAATTCCTTTCCCTATTTGAAGTACATAAGCAGAAGAAAGTAAAGATCGCAGATACGCAACCAAACCGCCTATGCAATTGTGTTGAGAAACACAACCAGTTTAGGAAGTTTTGCTTGTACAAGGCCACCACCATGCCTGAGATACCCGGGTGGCAGATGCAGCACGTGACAGTGAGGGTGACTTAGTAAGTATCACAAGCAATGCCTGACAAGGTGCAAACCTCGTTAGCTGCATCTATGTTACCCTCACTACGAATACAGTGTAGTGAGTACGCAGTTAACAGTGGGTGTCAGAGCAGTTAACTGCATGTAAAGTGCTTCACGCTTGCATCACAGCATTTGTTAACAAAGTACACGCTCACTGGTGTCAGCACTGGTCTTGAACCCAGAACCTTGTGATTCGCAGGCGAGCCCATAGCCACTCGGCCAAGGTACTGGTCAGTAGGCAGTGGCAATAATTTCCCTACACTGCTTGCTTAAAGGGGAAGTCCGGTGAAAAATTTAAATTTCAGGGTCGGTAGAGTTTCGGGCGCTGAGTCGAATGGTGTTGGTCCCACGTGTCTCCGACAAAGCGTTCTCGAGATATTTCCGTTTGAAAAACTGAGTTTCGGGGGCTGCGCCATGACGTCATGCGGCCTCGCCACACCCTCCGCAACGTCATAGCGTGCAGCTAGGTCAAAAGGAGTGTGTGAAAGCAATAGTGTCAGTGCTATTTCAAATGATTTGGCGACTGATATAAGGTGGTGCAAGCGACCCCAAGTAGGGATGTCAGCGCGGACACTGCGCATGGCTTTGCGCATTCAATGATGTAATCGATTTTTCAACGCGGCGATGGCAGACTGAAAGAAAATGGCGATCGCCAAAAACCAGCTCAGTGAGTCGGTATTTGACGACTCCCCGATGCAGCTCGACCTAGATTTTGAAGTTTGGAACATTTTTAGAGAGAAAGAGAGGGAGAGAGAGAGAAAGAGAGGGCTAGAAAGAAAGATAACTCAAGCTTATGCTTCAGTAGAGTCACTAGAAGTTCTGGGCACACTGATAGGCTAATATCATCTGACGATTTCCACAGCTTGTGCCGCTTGTTGCAGAGCATAAGTGAAAATGCGCCGCCAGAAGATCGGCGATCGTGAAGTCGGCTTTGGGTAGATTTGGCTTTCGCCATCCCGAGGAGCCGCTCCTGTTGCCTGTGAGAACCAAACCACGTCTCCACACGACTACTCGAACAAAACCCTGTCTACACCTGACAATCGATGTCTCTGGAACAACGGCCCATATGCACGGCGCCGGCGATATGTCAGAAATGCAGAAATTCACAAGAACGAACACCGTCACGTGGAGCATGAACGCTTCGGTCAAATTTCCTGAAAACTCTCAACATCCAACATCAAGTATTTCTGCCGGGTTTACCGTTGAATCCAGAGCTTTTCCCCGGTTAAATCCAGAGATTTTCAACTCGAAGATCGTGGCAACAATCGGCATGGTCGCCATTTTCCGCTCAGAAAGAACCCTGTCGTTTGGAACGAAAACGGCTTCGCGCCTTCCAACGAAAGCTACAAATCGATTCCAGAACACATGGGCGGCCAACATACCAAACAAGATCCCATTCTGGTAAGCAGGTAGCCTGTAACCACCATCTCCTTGCAAGGAAATTTCAGCCATTTCTCCTTCGTTCAAGGTCTCAATTATCTGCAAAAAATAGCCAGTGTTTGGCAAAAATTCTGCATGCCACTTCTGATGCGCGTTTGGCTGCATGCGCGAACTGCATGCGCAGTGCACGCGCTGAGAGCCTACCCCAAGACCTAACTCCTTGTGAGAGTGAGGATGCAGCCATGGCTGACCTTCATGGGTTTGGTCTAGGGCTGAGAACCTCGGTATTCAGCTGAAGAAATGGCCGCGCGGGCCGGTCAAGAGTGAGCGCTACTGATTTTCCGACTGATGAAGAAGCAGTAGCTATTGCAGACGAGGCTGATATAATTATCAGATCGCTGAAGAACAGGGTCGCCAAAATGGAGAAGAGTGATGCGAGTGCTCCAAATGTTGTTCCATACCGATTCGCTTAGACTCCAGTAGCCTGCCACATGGTGATGTTTTGGTGCGAGCTAACGTTACTTGGCATATTTCGGACTACTCAATTGGAGAACATTGCAGGCTCTTTGAACCATGGCCCGGGCACGACTCTTCGCTCGCAACGCTATGGAATCTGAAAGTTCTAGGTCCGGGAGCTGTTCGCTGTTTTGTCACTTGTCACGGTTGTGCACTCATCGTTGTAGCATAAAATAATGAGGCCGGACTGGAGCGGAAAACTAAAATTTTCTTTCTCAAAGCACAACCACCGGCACCGGCAAGGAGAAACGCACGTTCTCTGACTACATGACTGTACAATACGCGTATACGCCTGATACAAGTGTAGTACTAGTACATGACACGTCCGTGTGTTGACTAGTTTTCTGAGTCTTGTTGTAGCTAGCCCAGCACGGCAGTGCGGGAGTAGTTCCGTGTGTGATGAGTCTAGTTTGTTGACTGCACTACAGCTAGCATGCACGCAGCGCATTGCTAGAGCCGTAGAGCTAGAGGCATGCTGACGGAAAAAGTCCAACTCGGAAACGGCTATAATACGATTAAACTCGAGGTTTACCGAGCTGAAAATCATAGGGTACGTAGTGTTTGTAACACTGAATCGAATGGTTTTGGTCCGAAGAAGCTGCGACAAACGGTTCCCCAATCGAACGCGCTCCGAATATGGCCGTTTTGTACACAACTAGATGGTGTGGCTACCTGGCTGCACGCTGTGACTTCATCACCTGGATCTGGGTGAGGCGCGCTCAAATTCGCACATGTTCGATTGTGCGTATCTGACGAACCATTGGCCGCAGCCTCCTCGGACAAAGACCATTCGACTCAACGCCCCGAACTCTACGGACTGTGAAATTTAAATTTTTCACCGGACTTCCCCTTTAATGACATGACCATTTTTTGGCCCGACCACGTTTTTTTGAAGGCCCTGCAAGGCTGCATGGCCTACACCAGGGAGTCGTAGGGGGTCGTACGACTTCCTGGCTTGTACCAGGCAGCCCTACGCGTAACACATGCCAGTGTACGTGCATATAGGGCTACCGGTATGGCCTACGACCATGTACACTGTGTGATGCACATCCACGGACGCTTTTCGCTTGCACGCCTTCGCTGATCCGCTGCTTTTTGTGTTCCACTTTTTCCAAAGAATTCTTGTAGTTCTGTGTCTTTTCCCTCTCTGATTGCTGCTTGTGTGGACACCATGGAGGCTGATCAGCCTCGGAACTTTGCTTTTCCAAAGCGAAGTTTCGGGCGAACATCGATCGTTGAGCGTCCGTTTCAACCAGCTTGGTTCGATAAATTCAACTGGTTGCACTACGACGAGTCGACGGATTCTGTGACCTGCCATTTGTGTTCCTTTGCTGATCAGCAAGGGAAGCTGAAAGCGCCATCGAAGGACTCGGCCTTCATTTCTAAGGCCTTCAAGAATTGGAAAGATGCCACGGAGGGGTTCCGCCGGCACGAAAAGTCACTGTGTCATATCGACGCTGTCCAGGTGATGCTTGTTCTACCGCAGACTGTCCCGGACGTTGGTGAGGCGCTAAGTCGAGCCCATGCCAAGGAGAAAGCCCTGAATCGGCGAATGTTCGTGAGAATCCTAGAGAACATGAAGTTTTTGGGTCGCCAAGGTCTTCCCTTGCGTGGCCACGACGATGCAGAGTCGAACTTTATGCAACTGCTGCAACTACAGAAGCTACATACTCCCGGGGTGCGTGCTTGGCTGGAGCGACGAGTGGATAAGTACTGCTCCCCCGAAATCCAGAACGAAATCCTTCAGCTAATGTCGCATAGCATACTCCGGAATGTGGCCAAGTCCATCCATACTGCTGAGGTGTTCAGCGTAATGGCCGATGAGTGCGCAGACGTATCTAACAAGGAACAGGTGGTGTTGTGCTTCCGGTGGGTTGACCAGGAGTTGGAAGTTCATGAATATTTCATTGGTTTGTGCCAGATTGACAACATATCTGCAGATACGATCGTTGCGGCTATCCGGGACTGCATGCTGCGACTCAACCTCCAACTCAACCGTTGCCGAGGCCAATGCTACGACGGTGCCTCAAATATGGCTGGCCACAGATCTGGTGTCGCGAAGCAGTTGGGAGATGAAGAGCCAAGGGCTCTTTTTGTGCACTGCTACGGGCACTCTCTGAACCTGGCAATGTGCGACACCATCAAGACGACTGTGCTGACCAGAGATTCCCTCGATGTCACCAGCGAGATCAGCAAGTTAATTAAGTACTCGCAAAAACGGAATGCCCGATTTGACGTCCTGAAGGGTGAGATCTCGCCCTCCACACCAGGATTCCGTGTGCTGTGCCCGACCCGCTGGACAGTGCGAGGCAAGAGTCTGCAAAGCATCCTGGATAACTATCTGGTCTTGCAAGAACTGTGGGATGAAGTTCTGGCTGGGAGTGTGGACCCCGACGTGCGTGCTCGCGTAATCGGAGTGAAGGCTCAAATGGAGACTTTCAACTTCTTCTTTGGAATCAGTTTGGCCCGTCTTGTCCTGGCACATGGTGACAACCTCTCTGTTTCCCTCCAGAGTTCAACAATGTCTGCTGCCGAAGCCCAGAAAATAGCACGTTGGACGGTGAACACAATCACAAAGATGCGCACAGAGAATTCATTCTCGATGTTCTGGGAGGCTACTGTGGCAAAAAGTCACCAGTTTGATGTCTCTGAACCGCAGTTCCCTCGCAAACGCAAACGTCCACAGAGGTATGAAGGTGGAGATGAGCCAGCATACCACCCCAGCTCCCCGGAAGGCCACTTTTGGCAGCTGTATTTTGAAGTGCTTGACAGTGCCAAGTCCTCCATCCAGACCCGGTTTAATCAGAAGGGCTTCGCCATATACACGCAGATGGAGAACCTTCTCTTGAAGAGTGCCAAAGGGGTTGACGCTACAGACGAGTTCAAGGCAGTGACAGAGTTGTACGGCGAGGATATCGACTCCAACCTCCTTCTTACCCAGTTTTCCCTCCTTCAGACGCAGCTGACCTCTGATGACAATGTCACGTTTAGGTCTGTGCTGAAGTTCTTGCGGGGCTACTCCACCTCTCAGAGGCAGCTTCTGTCTGCAGTTGTGAAGCTGGTGCGCTTGATTCTGGTAAGCCCAGCTACCAACGCCATCAGCGAGAGATCCTTCTCAGCAATGCGGAGAATCAAGACCTATCTCCGCTCCACAATGGGCCAGAGTCGGTTAAATTCAGTCATGCTCCTCCAGACGCACAAGGACAGGACAGATGCACTGTCTGTGGTGTAGTTGGGCAATGCCTTCGTCGATGTCACCAGCAGTGATCACCGCCGCTCAATATTTGGCACATTCACGGATGCTGATCTTGCAGCTAAGTAACCCAGCTAGCAGTTTGCCTGGGATTGCTCTTCTTGTCTTTTTTCTGCGGCTTTGGCTTTCGTACACAGCAGCGGGACCATGCACAGTAATAATTATTCTACTTATTGTTTCAATGCATATTGTACGCCATCTGTCACATATTATTATTTCTTGCCTGCATTTCTTTTCCTCGCTAGTTTTGCTGAGAGTTTTTGTACACCTATTCAATGGTGGATGAGATAACAGGCTTTGAATGCTGTCCATAGTTGTTTTCTTGGAAATAGTAAAACAATGCCAAAAGTGCCCAGAATGCAGGATTTTGCACCCTAATTTCAAAAAATGTCCGGGGGGAGATCACCCCCCCCCCCCCTGGCCGGACCACCGTGCTACGCGCCTGGGTAAAGTGTGTAAAGAGAACTGCGTGCAGAAGTGTAGGCAGTAGTGCAGGCAGTAGTGCAGGCAGAAGTGTAGGCAGTAGTGTAGGCAGTAGTGTAGGCAGTAGTGTAGGCAGTAGTGTAGGCAGTAGTGTAGGCAGTAGTGTAGGCAGTAGTGTAGGCAGTAGTGCAGACAGTAAGTAGTGTAGGCAGTAGTGAGGAGTGGGGGGCAGGACTGAGCAGCGTGGGAGGGAGTGTGGGAAGGAGTGCTGGCAGGCGTGTGGGCAGGAGTGTGATCAAGAATGCAAGCAGAGAAGTGAGGGGAGGAGTTTGAGCGTCTTCAGAAAGTTCGGCAGGAGTGTGATCAAGAATGCGAGCAGAGAAGTGAGGGGAGGAGTATGAGCATGTTCATAAAGGCTGGCAGGAGGGTGGGCAGGAGTGTGGGTAGGAATGTGATCAGGAATGCGCGCAGAGACGTTTGGGCAGGGGAGTGTGGGCAGGGAGTGTGGGCAGAGAAGTGTGGGCAGAGAAAAGAGGGCAGGGAGTGTGGGCAGAGAAGGGTGGGCAGGAGAGTGTGGGCAGGAGTGTGATCAGGAATGCGCGCAGAGAAGTATGGGCAGTGAAGTATGGGCAGGGGAGTGTGGGCATGGGAGTGCGGGCAGGGAAGTGTGGGCATGGGAGTAGGGACAGGGGAGTGTGGGCAGGGGAGTGTGGGCAGAGTGTACACTGTTCTTCTGAAAGGGGGTCAACTGGGGAAGCTAGGCTCGCTCACGCTGTGGCCAGTAACTGTGTGGGTGCACTAACCAAGGATGGCATAATGTCAGCCAGTAAACACATATCCGTGAACCCGGAACCATGGTAGAGAAGTGTGGGCAGGGGAGTGTGGGCAGGGGAGTGTGGGCAGGGGAGTGTGGGCAGGGAGTGTGGGCAGGGGAGTGGGGGCAGGGGAGAGTGGGCAGGGAGTGTGGGCAGGGAGTGTGAGCAGGGGAGTGTGGGTAGAGAAGATTGGGTAGAGAAGTGTGGGCAGGGGAGTGTGGGCAGGGAGTGTGGGCAGGGGAGTGTGGGTAGAGAAGGGTGGGTAGAGAAGTGTGGCCAAGGGAGTGTGGGCAGGGAGTGTGGGCAGGGGGGTGTGGGCAGGGAGTGTGGGCAGGGAGTGAGGGCAGGGAGTGAGGGCAGGGAGTGTGGGCAGGGATTGTGGGCAGAGAAGTGTGGGCAGGGGAGTGTGGGCAGGGGAGTGTGGGCAGAGAAGTGTGGGTAGGGGAGTGTGGGCAGGGGAGTGTGGGCAGGGGAGTGTGGGCAGGGGAGTGTGGGCAGGGGAGTGTGGGCAGGGGAGTGTGGGCAGGGAGTGTGGGCAGGGGAGTGTGGGCAGGGGAGTGTGGGCAGGGAGTGTGAGCAGGGGAGTGTGGGTAGAGAAGATTGGGTAGAGAAGTGTGGGCAGGGGAGTGTGGGCAGGGAGTGTGGGCAGGGGATTGTGGGATGGGGAGTGTGGGTAGAGAAGGGTGGGTAGAGAACTGTGGGCAGGGGAGTGTGGGCAGGGAGTGTGGGCAGGGGAGTGTGGGCAGGGAGTGTGGGCAGGGAGTGAGGGCAGGGAGTGTGGGCAGGGATTGTGGGCAGAGAAGTCTGGGCAGGGGAGTGTGGGCAGGGAGTGTGGGCAGAGAAGTGTGGGCGGGGAGAGTGTGGGCAGGGGGGAGTGTGGGCAGGGGAGTGTGGGCAGAGAAGTGTGGGCAGGGAAGTGTGGGCAGAGAAGTGTGGGCAGGGGAGTGTGGGCAGGGGAGTGTGGGCAGGGGAGTGTGGGCAGGGGAGTGTGGACAGGGGAGTGTGGGCAGAGAAGTGTGGGCAGGGGGGAGTGTGGGCAGGGGAGTGTGGGCAGAGAAGTCTGGGCAGAGAAGTCTGGGCAGGGAAGTGTGGGCAGAGAAGTGTGGGCGGGGGAGAGTGTGGGCAGAGAAGTATGGGCTGGGAGTGTGGGCAGGGGGAGTGTGGGTGGGGGAGTGTGGACAGAGAAGTGTGGGCATGGAGTGTGGGCTGGGAGTGTGGGCAGGGGCAGCGTGGGCAAAGTGTGCAAACAGGAGTGTGGGCAGGAGTTTGGGCTTTGGCAAGAGTATGAGCAGGAATGCATGCAGGAGTACGGCTAGCAATGTGGGCAGCTACATGTGTGTGTGCAAGTATCGAATTTTCTCATCAAATGGTTTGTATGTTCCATGTTTGTTCATTTTGAATGTGTTTGTGGGTTTGTATGTGTGTGCGTGTGTGTGTGTGTGTGTGTGTGTGTGTGCGTGTGTGTGTGTGTGTGTGTGTGTGTGCGTGTGTGTGTGTATCTACAGCCATGCCATGTGGTCAACGGATGAACGCATTGCAAACCTGTACAAGGAGGATGAAGCGGAGCTCTCTGAAGAAACAGGTGCGGTATTCCTTTTAACATAAGACTGCTCTCTTTATCCTGTTCTCATCTATCTGTACTCAACTGCCCTTCAATTTGTGTTCTGTTACCATTGTTGTCCTAGTCTGTCTGTATGCTATATACATACCCGAAAACACACAAAATACATACCTTCTTGTCTACCTTCTTGCTCTACATACACTGGCTTATACTTCATTCCATATTCACCCTCATGCAATTGGCCATCTACAGGCGTAGTGGATATTGCTAGATATTCACCGCTTATATTCACCACTTTTCGATACTTTCTGTAAAGAGACAGTACTCGGTGCTGCACTTGATTTCTCTTCAGTCAGCGCACTGGAGGTGGCGAGTGCCGTAGGACATTTCTACGCTTACTTCTGTAAACAGGACTTTTCTCAGTACAAATGAAATCGGCATGTGACCAGGTGGTGACAAGTCATCAGCCAGCAAGCAAACAAGGTTTTGTACGCTCGGCATGTCGATGGATTGCGGATCGAGCGGCAAGCAAGGAATTTCGTTTGTACTCAGAAATGTTCTGCTTATGGACGTTGGCGTAGAACCTTTCTAGGGCACGCAACAGCTCCGGAGCGCTGCCTGGAAAGAAAATATGGGAGGGCAGAATCGCTTAGATTGCTGTCTATTAACCGACTTCCGAAAATGATGCTCACAGATTGGTCAAATCTTCTCATCGAAACGGGGACGATGATTGGCTCACGTAAAGCACGAGCGTGCTCTTTAAGGTGATTGGCTTGAGTGTGCTCTTCAAGGTCGTCACGTCCCGTGCCACATGCACCAGTACTTGTCCACGATCTGTCCTAACACACTTGAACTAGATTCTGTCAAGAACACGTCGCTCTCCGATTCATGCAAGAACATGTCAGCCGGTAGTGAAGTAACAACGACTTACGTTAGTTCTGCGTACATGTTCATGTATGACCAACGTGACTCGTTTGTTCAGCTGTAGGGATTACTGTTTTCTGATGATCGCTTAGTGCGTGAAACGCAGAGTTAAAATACTATCTTTGTCCTCTTATTGTCTGAACCCGCTCTGCCTCTCGGTATTGAGCACTCTCTTGGACAGCCTGGAACCTCTCTGTTTGACAGACATATTCATAAATAGGAACAGCACACTTATTAAAGGACAGTTGACCGCTGATAGATGTGAACCGGATAACGAGAGAAGTCTAGAAATACTGACTGAGAACAGAATGTTGTAAATGGAAAGAAGACGGTATGCACGAGGATTACAAGGACGGGTCACAATGCAGAACAGCGCTTCTAATTGAAGTACGTGGGATGGTCAGATTAATTCCTGGACCGCGCCCGCTGGTAAAAATCCTCGCGCGGAAGCACGTAGTAGTGAGGGGAAAAACCAAGTGCATGTCCCCAATGGTGATTGTATGGCATCATAAAAGCAGGCAAATCACATCATAGCAAAATTTAATTTGAAAAAGCAAGATTGATGTGCACAGAAATGAAGGTTGGGAGGGCAAGGACCCTGAGGAGACTCAAACCTGATCGGGGAAGCCAGGAAAAGAAACAACGATAAAGAACACATTAGATGCCATACTTGCAACCGAAAAATATTGCCCGAGACAATTTTTATTACCTACCTCGCTGCGCTTGCCTGTCCAGAAATTTAATGCCCTTCTTTGGAAAGTGCTTGACTTATGCTGAGTGCATGAGTCAATGGTGTGCTACTTATCACAAGTGTGTGGATTAAACGTGTGTGACTAATCATGAGTAGCCAGATCACCAACCTCATTGCACACCTATCCCATATGTGTATGCCTAAGTGTAGAAGTATTGAAGCAATCTCGTTATTCTCAGATGTAAAAACTGTGGCTTCATTCATAGAAAGGTCAACCAGAGTGTTGTGGCAGCATGCATTTTTAGGCGAATGCACAACTTAAAAACTTGATGTCGATAAGAACGCGTTCAACCGATAAAAAAGGCAAGAATAGTATCAGTAAGGCGGACATAACGAAACAAAAAGAAGAGAATAATATGATGAATCTAAATGCAAAATTTCCTAATCATTTTTCATGCCACACTCATCATGGAAAGCTATTATCTCCTCGTCGCTTATTTAAAGTAGAATGTGCTCAATACACCATGTGCGCTCTCTGTATGCTACTGCTAGTTTACTTACTTGTGTGCAAATGTCTACTTCACACTATCTTGCAACACAACTTGATCTATGGGCTTTCTCAGGTCTCAAAGAGAACTTCACTTTGCATGGGATTCTATACGAAAAAAAGAATTATTTTCTCTGTGGATAATGAACACATGACTGGTTAGGTATGTGGGTTTTGCTGACCTTTAGCATTTAATACACATTCCTATAATCGAATATTTCTGCACAGAGACATGGATATTTTTTTAATTCACTTCCTCTACTGTTCAATCAGACTCGGCAGAGAGCGTTCCTTCGAACAGCCAGTCACACTCTGATCAAGCCAGTCAGTCCACTGCTGCTCGCCAAGCTGATGCTGGTAAAATTAAATGTGCTCAATACAGCATGTGTGCTCCCTGTATGCTAGTGTTAGTTTACTTGTGTGCAAATGTCTACTTCACACTATCTTGCAACACAACTTGAGCCTCTAGATCGGAAAAGAGGGTTTTTCTATTTTTGCTGTTTGGTATTGTATTGGTTTAGTTGAATTGGGTATCTCAACACTACAATAACTGTACAACTTGCGAACATACACGCTTATGTAGTTTCACACAGTACTGAGAAAATGCATTTTAAAGTTGTGTGGTTTCCACATAAAGTGATGTATAACTCACTTTTTGCCAGCTAACCGGCCTCTCTGCCTACACCGCAGACACACCCACACACAACAGAAAGATACAGATCACAGTAGTAGTGTGGTCTTTGTTCTCTCACGGTGGAAGATGGGAGAGCTTAGCGTAGTGTATAGATGAGCATGAAGAAGGGCATGCCACCTCACGCATATACATTGTACACATAATGTACCAGACCAACATAATGCAAAAAGTGAACCACTGTGGCGAATGGGGCCGCCGGATAATTAACCAGCCCGAAGCTGGCGGAAAAACTTCAGGACCCCGGCGGAGGCACAACCCTGAGAAAAAACCGGTTAGAATAACCCCATAAGATAAATGAACAAAACGTAGCCTGCAGGATCTATCCCGAAGTGAGAATAAAGGGGGTGGGAAACTACAAAGAAAAGAGAAAGACCACGATGAAGAGAAAAGTTTGAGAACACTGACAAAAAAACGGCTGACGCAATCCTGCTGCCGTAACTATGGTGAAAATGCTGGCCAAAAATACATTTTTCGTTTCATTCGCTACGCTCAGCCAACGAAAAATAACACTTTTGCCAGCTAGCTGGCCTCTGCGTACACCGCAGACACACCCACACACAACAGAAAGATACAGATCACAGTAGTAGTGTGGTCTTTGTTCACTCACGACGGAAAGTATAGCCGACCCGATAGTCACTGGTGCAGTGTAGCGCGAGACACCGACAGCATGTCTTTGAGGGAATCCTCAACTTACATATTCTTACATGTGGATGACTTCCAACCCCCTTGCCGCTGAAGAAGGCGCTCTGGCACACCAGCATTGGCCGCTGCCGTCGCTCCCCCCGAGCGGAGACCGTGCGTGCCATACCCTGTGGGGTTTTCACCTACGCGGGCGAGAGCTGTGTGGATCAATTCGCGCGCCCGGGTGTATGTCATCTTTCCCCGCAGACATGACTGGTGGGTTGCTGCGGAGACCTTGCCAAAGAGAGGTTGAGTGGGTACATGCCGTGCTCTCTCCAAGAAACCCTCTATAACCAACACAGGACATGGTGTAGTAGCCTGCTGCTCCAGTCGGCTCACCATGACCACATCGCCCTGGCGCAACTGGTCGTTCTTGCGTCGTCGCAGGTGTAGGGACATATGCGTGCCGCAAATGGAGATATCCTGAGGCGTGAGGCGTTGTAAATCGTCCCAGCGAAGCAGAGCAGTGTTTCTTCTGCCGAACTGTGCAGGCGGCCGTGACATATACTGCTGGCTGGGGGTGCGAAAATTCCGCTGCTGATGCTCTCGCGTGCTATCAGGACGTGATGCTATCCGCCGTGCTGTTGCAGCCGCCTCAGCAATCCTCTTGTCATCTGCCATCCAGTCACGCAGCACCCCGTTTTGATAAACTTCGACTGTTTTCCAATCGTAAGCGTCCGCAATCTTGAGGTGCTTCTGGCGGAGGGTCAGGGTCGCCTTACTTTTTGCTAGGTATGCAGCTGTGTCATGACCTGATGGCAGTTGAGTGAGCGCTCCCTCCACGCCATTGAGCACAGTTGGGTTTAAGTCGAATTGTTTTTGCAGGCCAGCTTGCTTCAACGTGACCTGGTTCGACTTGGAGGCTCCCAGCTCAGCCCGCGCAGCCCTCGTCTCTCTCTTGACATCCTGGATCTCCTCTGACAGCTGCCCGAAGGCCTGCGCGAACCAAACTGGCGGGAAGCCGGCAACCTCCGGGGAATCCACCATGACAGGATCCGGAGCAGGTACTTGCTCCTCGACGTTGCCATCATGAATACGCTTTCGGGCTGTGCCGACAGCTCCAGGTGAGGCGGACCGGGTCCGCTTTTTTCTGGGTGGAACTGGGATTTGAACCAGAGGTGCAAGCGAAACGCATGCCAGCGAGTTTTTACTTCTCGTTTGTGGCATGGATAAACTCTTCCACGGACGAACAAAAATGCAAACTACAACGAAAAGAGAAAGACCACGATAAAGAGAAAAGTTTGAGAACACTGACAAAAAACAGCTGACGCAATCCTGGTGGCGTAACTATGGTGAAAATGCTGGCAAAAAAATACATTTTTCGTTTCATTCGCTACGCTCAGCCAACGAAAAATAACACGTTTTGAAACACCTATAACTCTGTGAAACATGACAATTTTAGACCTAGGTGTTTTTACAAAGTGATCTGCTGGGATACAGCAAAGCCAGGGTATAGATCACTCAAAATGCTCAAAAATGACATAAGCCACCTTTTTGAATTTAGAGGCTCATTTGATCTATGAGCTTGCTCAGGTCTCAAAGAGAACTTCAGTTTGCAGGAGATTCTGTACAAAAAAAAGAGTAATTATGTCTGTGGATAGTGAATACATGACAAGTTAGGAATGTGTTTTATGCTTACCTTTTATGAAATCAGTTTACAATTTATACCCATTCCTATAATCAAATTTTTCTGCACAGAGACATGGATAGTTTTCATATGCTGTTTTCTGTTCTTTCCTGTTGAATGTATCAGGCCATGCTGAGGGTCATGCTGCTCATGGGAGCTGTGGTATTGTCCAACCCACTTCACCACTGTAAGTTCTACTCATGCATTGCTCAACAATGAAGTATAGAACCGTTGAATCAGTCCTAGGTAAAGTTCAGTGAAATGTACTGCACCATTTCCAACAAAATGAGTCAGCCCGGCCCATTGAGTGAGTTCTCAGACCATGACGGTGCAATGACAGGTATATGTATCATGATCAAGTCCTGACTTGAAGAGGATTTCTTCAACTGTGCTGTACACCACAGTGAGTTGGGAACACGAGGTGTAGAAAACAGGGCAACATTGATGCAGAAATTGGGTTTTCACCTTTGCCCATATACTGTAATTGGTGGATCGGAATTTTCCTCTCCATCCGTAAAGAAGCGGCATCTGACGCCTTTTCATGTTGTCTTTTCATGTTGTCCTCTTTCAGAGAGAAATTTTTGTCAGACATTTCTGACTATCGAGACTTTAGCGAATGGATGGAAAAGTGCATCGGCCGCCCTAGACGTGGTAAGTATGTTGCTGCCTTTCTGTATAGAATCGAAGACAAAATACGCACCATTATTATTATCCGGAGTATAATCCGCTTCCAGATATTTTTTCACTAAATACATTACATTGTTCGTTGTTATTTGAGTTGTTCCTACTTGTTAAGTTCCTATCACCTCTTTACTCTACCAAATAAAGACTTGGAATCGGAATATATACATTATAGCGTAACTTGTAGTCCCTGTGCTTAGACTTGCTGTGGTGTGGGGCAGTGTATTGGGAACGTGAATAGGCTACCGACATGTCTCTGAGAAATGCTGTATTTCTTTCGCTTCCCTCCTTGTTCTCCTGTGTGTCCAGAGGACTTTGCCCGAGCCGTTGCAAAACTGATTGACCCAGAATACAGCAACCATTTCAAAGACGACATGCAAGACTTTATCAAGAAAAACGACCTTGGCACCACTGACATACCGGATAATATGCATGGCGTTATCAGGTGGGCCGTGGACAAAGCTGGAACGCGTGAAATCACCCTGGCCGAGTTGAAGAAGATTGCGCTACGCCTGAATCCCGACAAGAAGAAAAGGATTGAGAAAACATTCCAGTGAGTTAACCAAGAATGACTCATATCATTGTTATACGGTATTTTGGTGGCATGGTCCGGGTCGGGGCCAGGGAGAAGGGATAGGGTGATGGGTGGGGGGGGGGGTTGTCACCGGTGGTCAAATTTGTTTGAGAAAGTGATGAACGGGCTGTGCTGGGATCCTGCCTACACCTTAGCTTGGCGTCTGAGCACTGAACCGCCTTTTCGCTTCCAGAGTTATGGCCAGGTCAAAATAGTAGAGAGGAGGGGGGGAGGGGAGGGGGGGGGGGAAGGGGACAGGGAAAACAGTTACCCCGTAACCGATTTCCCATTTTCCAAATAACTGTCTTGCAACGCTAAATGCAACGTACGGAGCGAACGCCTGCCAGAATGGCATGAAAAAACACAAATAATCGGAGAATGAGGAGGGGCAGCACTTTTTCACTGAGGGGTGAGCAAACAGAATAGGCGGGGGGGGGCAGTGTCCCCCTACCCCCCCCCCCCCCCCCCTCTCGCTACAGCCCTGCGCTTCCGCGGGACCCCACCACCCATGAGCAGCGGTCAGATGCAGTTCCTCAACAGTGGGAAGGATAGATGAAATCCACCTACCAGAGGCCAAAGCCGAAATCCCATTTGCCACAACCAAGTTTTTCTCAAGCCAGACCACAAGTTCCCAATTCACAGTGAGTCGCACCTAGGCTGGGAAAAACCTTCCGCTTCCAAGGATTACCTGAACTGGCAAATATTATAGATTTCGAATAGAGGGCGGGGACCTAACTTGGAGATGAAACCGTCTTTCCTTCTAAAAATTTCTCCCCCCCCCTCCCCCTCTGTCTCTGCCTGTCTTTTTATTGCAGAATACCATATCTGTCGGCCTGCTGGTGTGTCTGCGTGTCAATCTCTTACCCTCTCTGTACTTTTTCCCCTCTCTCCTTCTCTCTCTCTCTCTCTCTCTCTTTCTCTTTCTCTCTCTCTCTCTCTCTCTCTCTCTCTTTCTCTCTCTCTCTCTTTCTCTCTCCCTCTCTTTGTCTCTCTCTCTCGCTCGCTCTCTCTCACTCTTTCTCTCTCTCTTGTTATTTGTCCTTGGTACAGTGATGAAACATGGTGAAGCGTCATCTTGAAGCTGCCCTGCCCAGCAGTGGCCTCTATTCGTTCCTGGCTTAACTGTCAACTGTCTACATTCTACTGGTAGAGAGTCACTCGACAGCAGAACACCTCAAGCATCTGAAGACCATCTTCCATCACTTGGCAGAGTATGGTTTGGTGGTCATTATCAGCAAGTTTGTCTTCATGCAGCCCTCCGTGACACTCCTGGGTCACAATGTCAAAGCCACTGCCGGCGGTGGCATTGAGACACTGGCAGAGAAGGTCAAGGTCATGGTGGACTACCCTGCTCCAGACACTCACTCTGCTCTCTACCTCGCTTTCTGGGTTTGGTAAATCTCTACCGACGCTTCATCCCGGATTGTGCATGCATTCTTCAGCCGCTCTCGTATTTGTTAGCAGGCCCTCAATCTCCCACGCACCTTTGTCGCGAACGTAGCAAATACATGAAAATAAATTCGGAATAACTAATTTCTATTTTGCATTACATGACGATGATTAACATTAGTGTTTTTGTATATACCATGACAATGATTGTGCTCTCTTACTCTCTCTTACATTGTGGCTGATTCCACGCTTGGGTTAGCAGAATTCTGGTTCCCTATCTTCATTTCTAAGAATTGACTCCATTCCACTTCAAAGTAGCTTCGAAGGTAGTCTTCATTTTTCTAGTCTTTGCATTTAGTTCTCAAACAAATTCTTCGTTAAGTTTTCGTACCGTGTCTAGTCTCGCGCTCTTGATTTGTTTTGCTCGCGCGTGACTTTCCTTTCTGTTTTTTTTTTGTTATGCATGACCCTGATGACGTATTGGTATGATGTATATGTGCACTTGATCACTTGCCTTCGTGACTACGTGTTCACTAACTACAGCCAGTACTAGGCTAGTGTACTTTAGCTGTAGGCTAGTGTACTTTAGCTGTAGGCTAGTGCACTTTAGCTGTAGGCTAGTGTACTTTAGCTGTAGGCTAGTGTACTTTAGCGATTCGCTCTCCTTAATACTATTTCTTCTGCGTTTCTATTTTGCACTAGTTCCTTTTTCCACCATTCCACGTCAATGAAAGTTGTGGTCGCCATTTTAATGCATGATCGTTGTGCACAGATGCATGTGGATGCAGCTGCCCTGTTTCCTTTACTTTTGAATCTTTATTGAGAAAGAACCTTTCCTAATCATAAATGAAGAAACATTGTTTGTAAATTTGTTCCTTGGCTCACCATCTGAGTCCTTAAAGCTATTATTCATTTTCTGCTGCCCCCGGTTATTTCTTTTATTAGTATTATTACTTTCTTTGTGCCTAAGGCGAGTGTTTGGCCATGATCAGTATACTTCTATCGATTTCATTTTCACCAAATATAACCTGTATACTTTCTCTCGCCGTGTAAACTTGAAGCTGTTTGTGTTTGTTTTTAGGTGTCTATCTCGTTGCACCAGTCCTCTTTTAAGCACGATATTTACCCCGCGCTCTGCATCGTGCCGCACAATTGCTGCTACCCGCGGTCAAGCTTCAGCTGCTCTGAACCTACCCAGAGCTACGTCTCGTTACGGCCTGAATGCTATTTCATTTTTGGCAGCAGACAGATGGAACATGCTTCCACCTGGATGTCGTCAAGCTAAGCCCCTTTCTGCATTTGTCACAAGCACCAAGTCATTCCTAGGGTTCCCAGTAAAAAGGCAACGCCTGTTGGGAGTTCCCTAGTAAAATAATAAATTCTACTACTACTACTACTACTACTACTACTACTACTACTACTACTACTACTACTACTCTTTGCCTTCGCTTTCTTGTTATTGGTCAAATTGCCCGTTAGAATCTGCGAAGTAAAATAAACAACAACAACAACAACAAATTAATAGATAGGTTCCGGGTATGATTTTCCTTGCCAAACTCCGTATGGACGCTACGGATATTTTCCACGCGTACTTCAGACGATCGGCACGGGGAATCCACGTGGACTGGCTTTCATACGAACCATGGTACATGGTACCATGGTTCGTATGAAAATTTTGCGTCATCGAATGCAGAAAGATTTTTGTGTACAAATTGGGCACGAGAAACATCGATTTTCCGCGGGAAGTTTTGATTTCGGTACAAATTTTCAAATTAAAATGCAAAGAGTGGGGATATGACGTGTTTGCTATCGTAACCTAGGCAATGCAGGCAAACACATAAGTTCCGTACTGCGGTGCATTTTACTGCTCGAAAACGACTTATAAAAATTCCGTAGCGCCACGAATTTTGACACGAAAAATCGTACTCCAGAACCTCTCTAATGCCGTTCATGTCTGTTGGTTGGAGATGCAATGATGTTGCGAGTCACGACATGAAAATTTGGTGCAAAAACCCCATTGCCTCGACGGAATGAGGAACGTCTGGGTCAGTCAAAGCAGAGTCAGACGCCAATAGTGATACTGGTAAGTTGAAAATGGATACGGTCACCCTACCGGCGCAACTGATTTCCGTGAGCTGCTCGCTTCTCGCTCCACATAATTATACTGGCATTAACTACAACGCACAGCAACTTGCGGTACGGGGGAGTGCCGACCAGCGGAGTAAAAGGCTACGGAAAGAAATACGTAGACACTGCCGGAACAGAATGTTGGCGGAGCCAAGTATCTACGAGACAGGATTCAGGGTCCGCCGGGTAGACACTGCCGAAGCAGAATGTTGGCGGAGCCAAGTATCTACAAGAGTCTGCGTCCGAGGGACGGCGACCGAGGGCCCTGAGTAGCCGGAAATGAGCGTGGCCAACACCCCGTTTAGTCACTTTATCAAAGCAAATTAGTAATGAGAAATGGGAGGTGGGAGGGTGAAACACTCCGAGCAAGCAAGAATGATCGCCGCACAGAACGGATCGAAAATATATAGCAGAGCAAACTCTAGCAAGACATGCAACGATACATGCCAACCACGTTGAGCTACAAGCAAGCGTCATCATAACGCCGCCAAACCCACCCACGTTGAGCTACAAGCAAGCGTCATCTTAACCCCGCGCATCGCATGCGGTAACAGCACTATCAAACATAGCAGCATAGATTGAGCGGTAGCACAAAGCTGAGTGCACCCATTAATCTGCATTATCACCATAATGCTATATTAACTACAACACACAGCAACCTGCGGTACGGGGGAGTGCCGGCCAGCGGAGTGAGAGGCTACGGAAAGAAATACGTAGACACTGCAGGAGCAGAATGTTGGCGGAGCCAAGTATCTACGAGAGAGGATTCAGGGTCGGCCGGGTAGACACAGCCAAAGCAGAATGTTGGCGGGGCCAAGTATCTACAAGAGTCTGCATCCAAGGGACGGCGACGGAGGGCCCTGAGTAGCCGGAAATGAGCGTGGCCCATAATGGCCGGCAATTCCCGCACCGAAGAAGCCACGAGCGCAGTTGTGCAAACAGCAGGGGAGCGAGAGGTCGCCCAGAGTGGAAAGTAAGAAGAAAGGTAGAGGCAATAATGGTTCGTTTATTGACTCAGCACGAAATATAGAATCAGTGAGGCCATCGCCAAGAGTCCATGCAACACACACATGAATACAGGGCACACCACGCAATTAAATAGGCCCACTGTGAAGAGCCATAGAAACAGACAGCAGGTCCGACGGATCTGTGCGAATGTACCTCAGAACACAGTCCCTTTGCCACCTACCCATAGCACGGATTTTCCACACAGGAACGCCGTTTGCAACAGCCGTTGTCGCCGCACCAATCCTGAAGGAGTGGCCACTATAATCAGCCACATTACTCACCCCGGACAACTGCAGGAGGGCTCTCAGTTTAGCAGTGAAGCGACGGCGAGTCAGCGGTGACATAAACCGGAACAGGGGCTGCAACAACGGCGGCTTACTGTGTGACGAGTACTCGACCATGGCAACAACGGGACAATATTGTGGCGTTTCTGGCCCGATGTATAGGATCATGCCTCTGGCAAACGGGTCCGTCTTGGACCGCTTCACAACAAACTGTAATGCGGGCTTACCACCATGGTACGCGATCTTCACACTATCACCGGCAGCATCAAATCTTGGGTCGAACGGTGATTGCTTACAGTAAACTCAGCGCATCGCAGGAAGCCGTGGAACGCCAACAGGATTGCGGCTTGCAGCATTACGCGATCGTCTGGGGTAGAAGTCGGGTTATTCCGCAACCGGTCCACAACAGACCGGATCAGATCACTTGTCAGTGGAAGACGAGTCATGGACGGAGCAGTGCCATTCACTCTCTTAATGCCCTTAAGCACGCGCGGTAGCAAGGTAGCGCCTGTCGTAGGATCATCCATGCCACACTCGAGATGCAGATTACGAACGGCCGAGATGTAATTGGCCACTGTACCTGGCTTCACAGATCTCGCCAAGTAGGTCGCAAAGCTCGATAACATACTGTCTGTCGCGGGCAACGGGTCCCATCGGCATAACTGGCAGAACTGCCGGTAGCGTTGTTCTCAATAACTGTATGCTGCCCTGGTAGATGGCGCAATGGCAAGGGACGCGTATCGAGCTGTTTCGCTGCTTAGTCCCAGGAGGGAAGGGGCACTGGCTTGTCCGGTCCTGTCGAGCCCCGCGGGGCGATCATCCGAAATTCCTGCATTTTTAAACGCGAGAGGGCATCCGCAATTGCATTAGACTTGCCAAGCACATGACGAGCTACGACACAGAAGTTGTGCCTTGCACACACAAAGAACAGTTTCCGGATGAGGGCCATCACAGGTGGAGACTTTGACGTGCCCGAAGCCAAGCAGTCAACCACAGCCTGATTGTCGCAGAGGAAAGCTATGCGAAGCCGACACCACATATGTCCCCACGTGGCACACGCGACGAGATCAGGAAACAGTTCCTTGTACTCAATGGACAGTTCCATGGTGTCTTGCTCCCAGCGGCTGTACATCCACCTGCCCTCGTTGGCATAATAGGCGCCCCAACCAAGGTTGCCACTAGCATCAGTGTATAGACCTAAGTCGGTACTGGAAGTCTCGGCTTGGTACAGGAAGAACGACTTGCCATTCCAAGTAGCTAAGAACTCCTGCCACCACAGAAGGTCCTTACGACAGTCGCTGCTCATGGTAATGCGGTAATGCTGAGGTACCTTGCTGAACTTCTTAGCGGTGTCCCATAATCTGCGCATAAACGTGCGGCCCGAAACAATCACCTGCGCAGCAAAAGAGAGCTTGCCCAAATGAGAGACGAACTTTGCTGCGGGGATGGAGCGAGTTGAGCTAGCATCGAGGACGAGTTGTTTTATATCCGCTAGCTTATCATCTGGTAGCCGAGCTTCGAACCGTTCGGAATTCAACGTGATGCCAAGGAATGTCAACTCCGTCATAGGGCCCTACAGCTTCTCCAACGCCAGGGGAACGCCGAGGTATGTGAAGGCTTCTTCAATAATAGAGCGTTGCATGGACGCGAGGGACAAGGAAGGTGCAAAGACAGAGAGGTAGTCGTCCAGATAATGCATGATGATCGGAATGGCGAACTGGTGACGCAAAATCCACTCAACGGCTTCCGCAACCTGGTTGAAAATGAACGGGCTAGAACGCAGACCAAACGGTAACACCTTCTCGAAATAGTACTGGTTCTGCCAATGAATGCCCAACAGCGGCCAGTCATCAGGAGAGACTGGAATGAGCCGGAACGCGTTGCGGATGTCGAGCTTCGTCAATAGGGCGCCGCGGCCCACTGACATGATGGCACGAACTGCATCGTCGACGTGGGTATTCTTCAAGCTGAACTTGTCCGCTGGTATGCCGTCATTAACGCTGGACCCTTCCGGTGCCGACAGATGGTGAATTACACGAAGACGATCGGTTTTCTTCGGAACAATGCCAAGCCCAGACGGTTGCATGGGGCTAAATGGTGGCGTGGTAAATGGACCAGCTGTCATACCGTCCTTGCACCTGCTCGCTTCTCGCTCCACATATACTGGCACACACAGAGACAAAGACTTCAATAGCGACAACACACAAAGTTAAGGGTAGTTGGCCGCAGCCAGATGTAAACCGGATAAGGAGTGAGGTATGGAAGCAAGGACTGAGAACAGAGTGTCTCAGATAGAATAGGCGCACCAGTGGATAGCAGAAATAGGCCATGATGCAGAACCCCCTTGGGACCGTCAGATTAGTTTTCCTGGACCGAGCCAGCTTGGAAAATAGACCTCGCGCAGACGTGCGCAGTTGTGAGGGAAAAAAACGGGTGTATATCCCCAATGGCGATTAGGCATAATGTAGGCATGGCAAGCACATCACGGCAAAACGTGATAAAAAAGCCAGCAATGATAATATGCACAGAAATGAAGGGTGGGAGGGCAGGGACACTGGTGAGACTCAAAACTGCTGAAGAAGTCAGGAAAATAAGCGACATAAAGAACACACCAGATGCCATATTTGCAGCTGAAAATGTTTCGCGAGAAATCATTTCTCGCCTATCTCGCTGCGCTCGGCTGGCGAGAAATACAACTTCAATGCATATTGCGAAATCTGCAACATGAGCAGCACGATGCGGACCGGTTTATTGCCTGGCACATGCCCCCGAATGAGGTAGAAGACTTCCTGGTAAGCTTCGAGTGCATTTTCGAACGATTAGAAATCAATACAGGGTACCTCACTTCAAACTCTCCAACTACGGTCTCTTCGCTGCATAAGTTCACTTCACTTCCAAAAATAATAATAATAAGAAATAATATTAGTCAACCTTGGAGTATGCAAGCATCGCCTATATCCACTCTCTTTGTTCAGTCAACCTTTGAGTATGCAAGCAACGCTTATATCCATTCTCTTTGTTCTACTTCGAACTATGATAAGTATGTCCGTTTGTTCAATAGATTCCTCAGAGTAATATTGGGTTTTGATAAGTTCACCAGTGATTCTCACAGTCTTAGCCTTTACAGCCTTTATCATAATTTTCGGTGCGCGACAATTTGAAACTGTTTATTCTTTTGTTCCGGTTCATCCGTAGCGGAACCTGCAGCTCTTCGCTTCAAGCAATCTTTACCAGCAGGCTGCCGCTGCTATTGCTCTCACACCACTAGGGTCCAGCGGATAATGCCAGCATTATATTTATGACCGTGTGCAGCACACAGGTCTGCTGGGAGAGCTAGCCACCACTGGCTTAGGCGGCACTGTCCTCAAGTGGTTCTCCGACAATCTCACGAACCGCAGCCAGCAGGTTACTGTCAATGGTGAGAAGGGTGACACCAAACCCTGTACAAGAGGGTTCCCCCAGGGGTCTGTTCTTGGGCCTTTGCTTTTCTGCGTCTACATTCGCCGGGTACCCGATATATTTCACCAGAGTGTCGTGCAGCTGTACGCTGATGATATTGCGTTCTACGTATTCGGCTCTGATGTGGCTACAATTATGCTACGCTTGCAGGATAGTATGCGGTTGCTAGAGCAATACCTTGATGAGAAAGGCCTTCTGCTCAACCCCACTAAAACACAGTTCATGTTGATACGGCGTCCTGCCCTGCCTGCACTGAGCCCAGCCCTGTACCTGGCCTGTAAAGGTATTGTCATTTCCCCTGTCTCTACTGTGAAATACCTCGGTATACTAATCGATGAGCATCTAACGTTCCGCCCACAAGTAGAAAAGGTGTGTTCAGTGGTCTTCGCTAAACTAGCCTGTTTTGCTCATGGCCGTCGCAATTTATCAGCTACAGCTCGGAGAACTTTCTTCTTGTCAATTATACAGTCTACTCTAGAATATGCAAGTAATGCGTATGTGCACTGTTTGAAAACTACCCTATATAACAGGCTTGTGACGGTCAGCCATATTGCGATGAAGAAGGCATTTGGTTTAGATAGAATGACCCCAACTGCATTAGTTTTACAACGGTGTCATCTGTATTCGTTTGAGCAACGAGTTAATTTGAAACTATACGTTTTGGTCTATCGCTGCTTGTCATCAATTACTAGCCCCCTCCTTCAGTCACTGTTTCTCCTGCGTTCAGTTGGCCCGCACACAAATGCTCGTACTCGTGGCCAGGATACAGCTGCCTTAGTATTACCTACTGTACATATTGGGTATGGACTGCGCTCAGTTTCTTTTCTGGCGGCAGTTCGGTGGAACACTCTTCCTCCAAACTGTCGTCAGGCACAATCTGCTGGTACTTTTGCTCACCTCACAAAGATTCACCTAGGGTTCCCTGTAACAAGGCCATGCCTGTTGGGACTCCCCTAGTCAAATAGTAAATACTACTACTACTACTACATTATATTCGGCATTATACGACTATCCGAGCATCAGAGCATTAGAAAGGAACTAAACGAGCATCATGTAAGGTTTGAGCGGTATAACGAGTTTCATAGTGGATAATATGGGGAAATCCCAGGTTTTGGGCAAAAATCGGCTACAATCATGATCATGAGATGTTGTCTGATGGTGATTGGTGTTTGCCATGAAACTCTGGGTAACAACAAAACAGCCCTATTTTACTCCTTTTGTGTACCTCTTGCGTACTACGCTCCACGGATTCCGGGCATTTGAGCACTATGGATTGTACCGGCGCATGATTTTGTGATTGTGTAGACACGTAACACCTTTAGCACTAACGCTACATAACTATCGCTACATAAAAACGTTATGATTGTAGCGATGTGGTCAGGTAAATTTATACAAGCCAGTTAAAGGGGAAGTTAAGGCAAAAATTAATATCCATTCTCTTTGTTCTACTTCGAACTATGATAAGTACGATTGGCCGATATGTTGTAGTCTTTTGGACGCTGAGTCGACTGGTGTTGGCTGCGATGCAGCTTTCCTCCTTTATTCCCAATCGAACATGGTTGAACAAGTGGTCAGGTGCGCCTGCGTACACCAGTCAGCTGGTCACCGTGCCTGCAGGGTACAACTTACTAGCCTGTTTGACCTTTTTTGGGTGCAGTCCTGTCACTCGAGTTGAACTCGAGTTGAACCTTGGTGTGAAAGTTGTCGCCTGCTGGCGTGGTGACCAGGTGATTTGGGCACCCAGGAGCATGTGACCACTTGTTCAACCATGTTCGATTGGGAATAAAGGAGGAACGCTGCATCGCAACCTCTTCGGACCAAAACCGGTCATCCGTGCTTTTATAAGAACGAAACGGCGCTTTTAGTGACATTTTGAATACAAATCCCCATCTAGTAGGGCGCAGTCACCCAGTTTCGGTGGAAGTGCGCGAGTTCGATTGGGATTCAAGTAGGAAGGGAGCGTCTCAGCTTTCTCGGACCAAGACCATTCGACTCAGCACCCCGAAGACTACAACTGGTGAAATTTTAATTTTTGCCTTAACTTCCCCACTTTTTTTGTTCAGTGACGTTTGGTAAAGCTTTTTTAGCTCTGAAAAATCTCGTGGTTGGGCATTTTAGCCCCACATAATTATGCCCGTTCCGGGATCATGGAGGCCACTGATGTCTCTCGGGAACCAGCTGAAGTCGACCCATGGCGGAAAGTAAGCGCCAGAGACATGATAGCCCGAACTCTGATATTTCCAGCTCCAAAGAATGTGAAACTCGCTGAGTACGTGAGCTGCCTCGAACAACACGCTATTGGAGCCGAGCTCATCCTATCTATCCAGGTCAGTTCGGTAGACCAATGCAGATTAACGTTCGCAGATATCCAGCTTGCCCAGTTAGTCGTGAAGAACGGATTTCATATAAATGGACAACATATTCTTCCAAAATCCTTGACAGAAAACACTCATGTTCAGTTGCACATTCACGATGTTCCTGTGTGGATGCCGGATGGCGCCATTAAGCCTAGTTCACATTCGACGCAACGCCGACGGTACAGGACGTAAGGGCTTGTCGGGAGGGCTGGGGCGAGCTGTAAAATCCTGTGCGATTCGTACGACACGACATTCAGCAGTCGTTGCGACGTTCAACGTCGAACTGCGCGAGTCATAAGGGCGATTCCACACTACACCAAATCCTGTCTAAAAGCTATTTTTTCAGGAAAGTTGCTATGGCGATCACTTTGAGAAACGCGCGAAAGTGAAAAGTGCTTGTTGTCTACAAAGCAACACCAGCACCCTCTTTCAAGGCAACTTTTTACCTTTTCAGGACACTTTTCTGACTTTTCTTCAGCCTTTCGATTTTTTCCGAATTTGTTTCATGTCGTATCTTTCAGTTGTGAGCTGTCAACAATGCCTAGGGTCATGTTTAGCCAGGAGCTTGAGGGCAAGCTGATCGAGCTTTGGAACGGGCATTTGAGGCGACCTCCGGGCGGTACAGTTCGCAAGAGCTACGCGGAGGAGATCGCCATCACGCTGAATTTGTTTGCTGAACAGCTCCGGGAGGAGGCAACCTATACTGCGTCGATCGTCCATTCCAAAATCGACAACATGAAAACGAAGGCGAAAGGACTGTACGAGACATACACAAAGAAAACTGCCACCGGAGTGCCTGTTGGCGAGGTTGACGAATATTTGACCTATGATCTGGAATCCGCCTAGCGCCTACACAGCGTGGTCAAATTTCAAGATTTGGCACGCGAAAATGGGTGATATTCGAGGATTTGAACCAACAAAGAGCCTCTCCACAACCGCCGTTGCTCCAATGTAGCAATGGCGGTGGTGGAGAGGCTTTTACATATCATGTAGATCAAGCACAGGAAAGCCTCACAGTCTAACCTTCAAAGCAAAGTCCCGTGATCGACACTTGTAGGTGTGAATGCAGCTTCACTTTATACGCCACTTTATGCCTTCAAGGCAAAGCCACTTTAGGCGTAGTGTGGAAGACCCCTAAGGCACGGTCCGTGACGGGGTGACTTTCGGACCTAATTTCTCGTTTTTCGGGACTTCTTTTCAATTATTTCTCCTTGAAAGAAGCGGAATCAAGTTCACAATACCAGTTTTTCATGAAGACCAAAAAATTAGCCATGAAAGTTGTGGCATTCATATAATAGCCCCAGGAAAAGATAGAATAGTTCGTCTGTCACGCTTCTGAACTATCCCTAAATACAATAAGTGACATGAGATCTTATAAGATCTTGTTATGAGATCTTGTAAATAGAAGGGAGCGAGTCCGCTCCATCTGTAATGAGATCTTATGTTGCTAAAGTTCAACTCAAGTCGTGCTAGCCATTCTGTGAGTTATCATGGGAAGCGCAGTGTTCGAAATGCTAAAAATTTCCAAGTACGAAAAGGGAGTAGTCGGCGCACGACGCCGTCTCCTGTTCACACTCGAATTGCAGCCGTTTTGTACGCTTGCGTCCCCGTCTACGCCCGTCTACGGTATGAAAAGTTGGATCGATCCAACTCTTCCCGTCGCTTCCCGATCTGTACGGTAGTACGGTTGCGTTCCCGTTCCTGGTGTTCACATTGGACGCCGTCCGACCGTCCCGTCGCTTCCCGTCGATCCTTACGTCGCGTCCCGTCGCGCCCCGTCGAATGTGAACTAGGCTTTACAGCCGCACTTGCTCCATACGGTACCGTGCAGGGCGCCATCGCCACGGTAAACTTAAGGTACGGGAGAACATTGTCATTTCAACCGGAGTCCGTTTTGCAACCTTCGTACTGGGGTCGAATAAAGCCGTACCTTCGTACGTGAAATCCAGAGACGGGAAAGGCACTTTCCGCGTATACTGTAGTGGCCAAAAGCCCACGTGTCGAATTTGCAGCAAGCCAGAGCACCTCGCCAAGGACTGCCCTGAGGCCCGCAGTACCACTGCCATTACGGGTAGTACACAGCAGTAGTCACATCACTGAACGACACCTACATGTACAGACACTGAACGCACACGTCGACTCCTATCTGATGTGGTCGCAAACCCAGCCCAGACAGCCCAGCAAAGTAAAGCCCAATCACAAAGCCCAACATACATGTCCAAGCAGATTGGTCTCCCAGCAGCTGACAAGAGCGACTCCAGCTCCTCTGAGTCGGAAGAGTTGCCTTTTCCTGCTGATACTGAATCATTGGTCGACAATGAAAGCTTATCCAAGCCAGAGAACCAGCAGCCGTCTAACTTGCCCTGCGACTCCGACAGAGAGGCCAAGAAAGCAGACAGCGATGAATGTACAGCCCTAGGCCCACAGCTGGGAGGCCACAGCGACGATGATCCTGATTCTGGCGGGTGGGAAGTCAACCGATCCAAGCGTTCACGCCATAGCGTCCCACCTGACCGGGACCAGAGTGCCACCACCACTGGATCCAAGCAAAATAAAAAACGGAAACGAAAATCTCCTGAGAGTGGCCAACAAGTCCTGCAGTAAGTCACTTCAGAAACTTTCCGCTTTGATACACATTATTTTACCTTTCATTTTTGCACCCATGCCTAGTTCTGCCATTCATCACAATACTGTTAAATGTTCACTCAGACTACTTTGCACCAATGCATTTAGCTTAGGTAACAAGCTACCTGAGTTCCAGCACACACTGCGCCAGCATAATCCCGACATAGCAGTAGTGACGGAAACAAAGTTTGCCCCTGACACTGTTCCACCATCTGACTCCACATTCCCTGGCTACACCACCTTCCGGCTGGATCGAACAGCACGCGGTGGCGGAGTGGCCGTATGGATCAGATCTCCACTCCCAGCCATGGTAATTGATGAGTTATATTCTCCACAGCACGAACTCATTTTGCTATCCATTCAATTGTCCCCAGGACAAAAGATAGTGTTGGGCGCTGCTAACAGGCCAGGTTCGACGGGGCCCAGTGACCTTATGCTCATTAACCATCTTGACGACATCCTTCCCTCTGCTCGTGCACTTGGTGCCAACCTCATACTTGGCGGTGATTTCAATGTGCATGACCGCAATTGGCTCCATAGGTCGAAGATCACACCTGCGGGGGAAGCCCTCGAAGACACATGCACAGCCCACTTTCTTACGCAGCATGTTCAGTGTCCTACTCGCGGGGATAACACACTCGACATGGTGATGTCCACGTTGAACTCTCCAGTGACCACGCAGATAATGCCCCGTATTGGTCGATCTGACGACACTGTAATTCTTTCGGACTTCACAGGTGTTCTTCCCTCCCATGAACCGGCGGTGCAACGAACTGTCTGGCGCTATGAAAAGTCAGACTGGAACCGCCTCCGATCCTTTTTCCGCCAGGTTGATTGGTCAACCGTCATTACTGCCAACCCAGAAACTGCGTGTCATCAGGTTACTGACACAATCACGAAAGCCGTTTCCCGGTTCGTTCCGTCCAAGACACTGACAGTGAAGTTAACGGATCCGAAATGGTGGACACCTGAGTGTGCAGCCGCAATGAAGGATAAGGACAAACGCTGGCGCACTTGGAGGAAACACCCTCACGACTTTGCTCTGAAACATGAGTTTACCCGTTCTGTAAACAATGCTATCGCTGTCCTCGCTAGATCTAGAGTTTCCAAAGAGAACAGCCTCGGACATAGCTTGGCGAATGGGTCCCTGAAGGAGAAGGAATGGTGGACGAAGCTAAAGTGCGCTTGTGGCGGGGGTCGGAACACTGACATTCCCCTGCTTGTTGATAGTGAAGGTTGCGAGAGGGCCACAAGCTTTGAGAAATCGCAGGCTTTCGCACGGTTCTTTTCGAAGAAATGCAGTGTACCAGGCCGCGACCTTACTTCGATGGATTTACCGGACACCGCATTCGCTGGTGCACCTGCACTAACGACAGTCCACTTTCGCCCCGATGCAGTCCACCGGCTTTTAGCTCGCCTGGATGCCTCAAAGGCGACTGGACCCGACGGTGTTTCCGCTCGTGTCTTGAAGGAATGCGCCAGAGAACTTGCCAAGCCACTGTGTCAGCTCTTTGCCCTTTGCTTCCAGCACGGAGTCCAGCCACAAATGTGGAAGACTGCCACCGTGGTTCCAATCCACAAGCGATCTTCGCGATCCGCCTTGAAGAATTATCGCCCAGTTTCACTGCTGAGCATAATCTCTAAGATCATGGAGAGAGTTATTAATCGTCAACTCATGAATCACCTTGAGCGTTACAAACTCCTGACACCCCACCAGTTCGTGTCGCGAAGCGAGTTAGGCTGTGTTTACATGAAGTGTTTCAACCCGGGTTGAGTTCGACCCGGGTCAGATTTCAACCCGCCATGTGCACAAAGTGAATGGCGCGTTTACATGACGCATTGCGCTTGACCCTGGTTGAAATTTCGCCCCGGGTTGATTTCAACCCTCCCCCCAAGGGGAGGGTTGAAATCAACCCGGGTCAAGAAAATCGTACAAACGTACTTCTGTGCGTATCTCGCGCCAGGTTTGAACGGCACTGCAGATGCAAATTTCGCGCGAACGGATTCACGTGACCATACAGGACTGTAGAAGTGGACTTTTGGCGGCATAAAAAATATCAGTATTTGACCCGGGTCAACTGTCTTCATGTAAACGCTCACCTCTTTTGTCTATCGTACAGACTTTCAACCCGGGCTGAACTCGACCCGGGTTGAAATTTCTCATGTAAACACAGCCTTAGTTTAATTTTGCTATTTTACATGTTTTAGATCTAAAGACTTTATCATGTTTCGGCACTGCAGCAATCTGTAGCTTTCTCTTAGTCTATACGGTAAATCTTGTACTGTGAACTCTGTACGGCAAGTTCTGCCACATGCACAGTTTGTAGCCTCAGACCCTCTACGTTTACACAGCCATGCCAGAGCTCACTTTTTTCCCAACTGCTGCATATTGCTCTCCCAAAACAATGAAGTGCGCGTGCTCCGTACGATGTTGCACTGCCACGTTCACTTATCGTATAAATTCTCTTTCAGTCCGAGCAAATAAATCAGTTATCAACTCATCTCCTAACCCGTGCACTTGCGGGTTTCACACGTCAGTACTCGCCAACCACATGTCCCAGTCTGTTATACGCACACCCATATTTGGATCCCGACCCCGGCATGATTCCATTACCCCTAGCCCTGCATGCAGTAATTCGTACACATTCCATTACCCCCTACCCCTACCCTTGCATGCAGTAATTCATACGCACTCCACTACCCCCTACCCCTACCCCTGCATGCTGTAGTTCATACGCACTCCATTACCCCCTACCCCTAGCCCTGCATGCAGTAATTCGTACACATTCCATTACCCCCTACCCCTGCATGCAGTAGTTCATACGCATTCCATTACCCCCTACCCCTGGCCCTGCATGCATTAGTTTGTACACACTTCATAACCATATTTGACCCATTATCCCCTACCCCTATCCCTAGCCTTGCATGCAGTAGTTCGTACGTACACACTTATAACCATATTTGACCCATTTCCCCGCTGCCCCTGCATGTTATAATTAATACCGTACACATTTGTAGCCCGTTTTCCCCCCTTCTGCCCCTGCACATAAAACCCACCGTACATTTGATCTAATTACATCCCTTTATAGTGTACATAGTCGGGCTATACACATAATATACGCGCCCAGCTAAATGGGCGCGCTCATGCATTGTACCGTACATTCTATTCTAGTTCACTCTAAGATAACCAAACTTCGATAATCTAGTCAGAAGCCGAATCCACTCCCTAATGTTGATGTCGAATAATTCTGTCCTCGTCGTGAGATAATATATACTTTACCAACTCTCATAAACGGGTATCTCTGATTGTCTGGTGTGTGAATTGACAACATTGGCGCCCAACTTTGGTTCCAATTACCCACTCCCTCCGCTCTACCGACTGCTCTAATGAATATTCCCGGTGCCTTTCACTTCCCCGCGTGAGTAACTTCGATAAGCTTGTGTATCATATTAGTCATAAGTGCTTCTGCCTACCGTTGTGTTCTTGTTCGTTTTCCTTTTGTGTTAATTGGTGTCCTTTTGTGGTGTTTCGGGTGCATCAGACTTATCAGCCTTACTGTCTAGTGTAGCATACTTAGTACGAACCTGTTCGGTCTTCCATATTTGATCTTGAAAAAAAAAAAAAAAAAAAAAAAAACTTCAATATGTCAAGTCAATCTTCTTGGATAATGCCCCGTCCATTCTCAGGCAAAGAGAACGAGGATTTCGAAGCATTCTTATTAGATTTCGATAATGCTTGTGATGCCAATGGTTGGGATGATACTACCGTTCTGGCTCGGCCTGTCCGTCCAGCCCCCATAAGAACCCGAGGGGAAGCATCTGGTTCACACTATACGGTTACACCATCTCCTGTTACGTCTACTCCGGCCCCACCTAAAGAGGCTACATTTTATACTCGGTACTCTGAAGCTTGTTCGGACGGTCCTTACGCACCTGACGATATTCCAACACCAAAGATTCATTATGCTAATGATACAAAGTCCAAGTCTAGTGCCAGTAGTAGTAAGCCAGATGCCTCCCTCCCCACTAAAGACTATCAGTGTCCGGGTCCCCTTGGTCGTGGTTCAGATGTTGGGACTCCCGTTACTCATAACCCCTTTCTGACTGCTCTGGAGGCGAAGGATGAAGATGCTGCACGCAAACTTCACTGTAAACTTGTATTGTTAAAGAGGTCACTTCGTGACAGTGCTGCACGTTTCCTGCTAAGTTTAACAGTGGTAGAATGTGGGCAGTATGACACCCTTCGCAAAATCCTTACTGAGCGATACATGCCAGCCGAAGCCCAGTACGTCCGTAGAACCCAGCTACGTACGAAACGCCGCCAACATGGGGAATCGTTGTCGACTTTAGCCGACGACATTCGTTTGTTGACAGCCCGGGCTTATCCCAGAGCAGGAGTACTAGAGAGGGATGATTATGCCATGGAATCTTTCATTCAGGCTTTGGGCGAGTCATTGCGTGCAAGGGTTAGGGATAGCCAACCTGAAACCATGCAGGATGCACTGCGTAGGGCTCTGTATTTGGAAGCACATTCATTTGCTGATGCCTCTGCCAGACATGAGCGTAATCATGGTAATGATCCGTACAGTGCAGCTGTGTCTTCTGTACGAGATGAGCGTCCCCCTGGGTCTGGTTCTAAAGGTAATAATAGTAACTCCCGTGCACAGCAGTACAATAATGAACCTGATACGCTCACCCGTCTCTGTTTGGCAGTAGAGAAACTCGAGACTCGCCTGTCTGCCCCTGTTAGTACTTTTAATGGTGATCCCCATAAAGGCCGTAAACCCCAGTACGATTCTTCCCATAATGAACCTACCTCTAATTCTGCCCGCTCTTATGGCACAGGCCCATCCCGTGGCTCAGTCCAGGGCCCACCTTCTTTTGAGTCGGGTTATCACGATCACCCTATACCACATGGTCCTTCCCGTAATTTTGATCATGATGCATCCTATGCTGCTCGTCCTGATCCAGGGAT